GCCCACTCCCCCAACAGCCTGCCTCACCCCCCTCTCTGCAGGACTGCAGGACGTCGACGACTACCCGGCTCCCTCCAAGGGCTCGGCCCAGACCCCTGAAGCATCCCTCGACGGGGCCAACGTGAGCTGCAGCCCCCGGCCTGGGGCTCCGGAGGCCGCGACTGGAGGTGAGACGGGCGTAGGAGGTGGAAGGGACTTTGGGAAACAGCACCTTTCAAGCCCTGTTCTCACCACAATTGTGTGCCCGCAGCCCGGGTCTTCTCGACGGTGACGGCCATTTCAGTGATGCTGTTGCTGCTGCTGTCCCTACTGCGCCTGCTGCGCCGACGGTGCGCGATCTGGGGCAGGACTTGAGGGCAGACCCGCTGGGCACCTGACGTCCTGGTGCCCCTGGCCGTGGGGGTCTGGTGGGAATCTGGGGCCCACGAGGGGAACGGGGCTGGAAGGAATTCCTGGGTTGAGGGACGAGGCCTTGGGTCCACACAGGGAATCATGCGTGGGATCACAGGCGAAGCAAGATGCTGGAGGTGGTGACACTGGTTGGGGGTTTGGCTGACGTCTGCTCCCTCTCTAGGAGCTGCCTGCTGGCTCCAGGTAAAGGACCCCCAGCCTTGGGGCCTTCCCGGAGCTTGGCGAGAAGTTGGGCCGTTTGGTATCGCCGGCCTCGAGGGGTGGCCCTGCCCTGTCCTCCCGGGGACCCCCAGGTTGAGAGTCTAGCTGCGAGTTACCGGCCTCTGAGTGCCTCCAGCCAGAGTTCTCTGCGCTCACTCATCTCTGCTCTCTGACTTGGGATTCCTAGGGTCCAGTGGACCCTTCTACAGTGTGATGGACTCCTGAAACCCTATGCCATACTTTGTCTACCTTGGCCTTCCGCCCTTTTGAGGGCAGTTCGCCCTCTAGTCACCTCGGGGAGGCCAGACGTGGGACAGAAAGCATCTGGTGCTATTTTGGGAACTTGGCGTGACCCTCGGGGTCCAGATGGTCCAGGCCAAAGGGCAAGAGGAATCCGGCTCCCCTCCTCATAGACCTGGATACAGGGGTCTTTGAGCCCCTCTTGGGGTGATCCTGGACTGCTGCCCACAGTGAAATGTGAGAGGTCAACAAAAATGGTCAAAAGACCAGCCATAGACTTTGAATAAAGGACGTATTTTGGTACAGCCTTGCTCGGCAAATTCTTACGTGTAGGAGGCGCTATGTCAATGAGCTATTGTGCCAAAGTTGGTTGTGTGCATGCAAATTAAGGACATTCCAGGCAAAGAGTTTTGTGTAGCTGCCTGGAATGCAGAGGACTGAGGAACTGCGGAGGCGGAAGTTTGAGTGAGCAGGGTCCTGGAGGAAGGGAGGAAGTGGAGTTGGGTTATGAGCAGAGTTAGGCAGAAGAAGGGATGCCTTCCTGGGCCCGAAGTAGGATGAACCCTGTCGTGGACTAACCTTTTCCCCCAGGCCTCCTGCCCTCCCTCTTCCCCAATGTTTCCTGCCTGTCCTGGGCGGGGCCAAAAGTGCGACTTGGCTTTAACAGAGAGCGGATTTCACCTGGTCCAAGCTCGAAGAAGCCTGGCCCAAAGTGCAGGGACTCACTGGAGGGCACCAAGCACGTCAGACACAGCGTAGAGGCCTGGGCATCTCAGCTTTGCTGAGCTCCGGGGAAGCTGGGCAGGTGGAGAGATCACCTGTGGAGTGGGGGTGCACCAACTTTAGACCTGACCTGTCCACACGTCCCTGGCTGGCAGCACCTTGGACAGAGTGTGAGCTGTGGGGTGGGGCTGGGTGGCAGGGCTGTGCCCAAGAAGGTAAGTGCCCAAGGGTGAGTTGACCTGGTGGGTTGCATGAAAGCTTGGGCGCTCACTGCGAGGGGACGCAAGACACCAGAGTCACTCTGGCAGAGCTGAGGCAGGAGGGAAGGGGGGAGGGCACAGCCACTCAAGGAATGACAGCAATTTAACACCAAAATGGTGGAAGATTCACCAAAATGGTGGAAGATTCAACTCCCAGTTGGCCTTGAGGAATAAGACGTTTGACTTCTAGTAGACCTTGAGCTTCATTATATGCTCACTGTAACAGCATGATAAATAACATGCCCATAGGCGTCGTAACAGTCCTAAGGCTAACTTCAAAAGGCCAAAGAACGGGCAGTGGCCCAATTCCTGGGAATCCCAGCCTCTTCCCCAGGGCAGTTGGAACGGTCCCAGTCCCACCTGTAGGCGTGTGAAGATACTGAGCCCATAAAAACTGGCAACACCACGCCTAGCGCCCTTTTTCACTTCCCCCTCTTTGGAGATGGCCTGCATTGTCTGTGGAGTGTGTACCTACTTATACTTTAACCTGAGCAACCAATTCCCACACCTCTTTCCTTGCCTTTCTCTTGCCTTACACTCTATGCAGTGTGTATCTCTCTAAATAAATTTACCTTTACTCAACTGTGGCTTGCACTTGAATTCTTTCCTGGGGGAAGCCAAGGACCCACACTTGGTGGGGCACATCCCAGGGGCTCAACCGAGACCTGGGACACAGGCCATCCTCACAACCCACATCCATTTTCCTGCATCATCTTTGGCGCCCAACGTCGGACATTTACATAAACAAACAGGGCTCAAAGGGCATAGTCTTGACCTGCCTATTGGGCTACAGCTCCCCTGTAGGAGGGTGGCAGGGGGTTTCTCCCGTGCTGTGCAGATTCAAATAGCCCTTAGGTGGCACCTGATGCTGCCTACAGGATCTGGCAGAGATCAGCTCTCTAGCCGTGAAGGAGCCCACCAAGCCCAAGGCTTTTCTCCTCTGGATCTTTTCTCACTCTCCTATCACTCTATCACTTCAGACTTGAAAAGATCCACCAAGGCTACCACTCGGACATCCAAATTAAGACCACGTGGCAAGTAATTGGCAACCTGATTGGGTGAGCTTCCCCTCCGTGGCTCTTTGAGTCCAGTTCCACCTCTCTACATGGTGTTGATCTGGTTCCGGGATGCTGGAACTGCAAAAGAGGGCCCAAATTAGGGGACTCTGGGAGTTCCCCTTAAGAAATTTGTGGCCCGGCCCTCCCTGAGTGCCCTCGGGGCATAGGCCTCATTGCATTCATAGGCAGGATTTGGAGGCAGGCACTCCCCTTGTGGATCGCAAGTTTAACACTCCTGGGTGGGGCCCTAGGTTTAACCACCCCTGAGCAAAAGTTGCCGGTGAATGCTCTCTTCATGGGTCGCAGGTTATAGTACCCCTGAGTGGGAATCACAGGGAGATACTCCCTTAGTGGGCCTACAGATCTCTGGTCTAAGAAGCACTGTGGCTATAGCATTCCCTTTTCATTCTAGATTTTCACCTTTCGATGCTATTTGTTTCTCTTTCACAAAAGGTAATTTGCTTAGTTCACTTAGGACCTAGGTCTCCTCCTTCCCTCTAAAAGATTTAGAACCTGGGGCTCTAGTCACCTTTTCTCCCTTTGGCCCTTGCTCCTTTCCTTGACTAGTCCAAAGGAGCCACCTCAGGCTCATGGACAGAATATTCTAACCAAAATGGGGACAACTACAAGTATCCCAAAGGACTCCCCGTTAGGATGCATATTAATTAATTGGAAAAAGTTTTAAAAGAATAGTTTGAAGAAAAAGGAATTAATTTTCCTTTTCAATACTGCATGGCCCCTATACAAACTAGGGGACCAAGAGGTCTGGCCAAAGAATGAATCATTAAATTACAACACCATGTTGCAGCTAGGCCTGTTTTGTAAAAGAGGAGGTAAACGGGGTCGGGGTAGGGAGTCCCATATGTCTAAATGTTCCTGACCCTATCCGAAGACCCAGTTCTAGGGAACTCCTTCCTGGTATGCTTGACTCATGTGCCCTTCAAAACGTCTCCCCCATTGGGAGCTCAAAGTTTCAGATAACTCTTTATGGGTCCACCTCCGAGGCCCACAACCAGGAATTTTACCCACCTTGACTCTGAGGCGGGATAGTCTTCTTCCCAATCATCTACCCCTAAGGCCCCTCTGGGCAGCTGGGGTCCCCAGATGAATCAGCTCATGGATCTGGCATTTAAAGTATTTAACAATAGAGACAGGGCTAAAGAGGCAAAAAGGATTCAGGGACAAAAGTGAAAGGCACAATTCTTAGCAGCAGCCCTAATCCCTGCACCACCTCGGGGTTACCCTCCACAAAGATCCATGGCGAGGACAGGATCTAGAGTGCCTGGATCAGAGCCACTGTCTTGTCAAAAAGCAGCCTGTTTTAAGTGCAGCCAGGAAGGCCACTAGAAAAACGAATACCTCCGGTATGGGAAAAGTCCATTGGGACCCTGCCCCACGTGCAAAAAGGCCACTGGAAGTGGGACTGCCCCCAGTCTCGAAGAGGGGGTTGGGGCTCCCAAACCAATGATGGCTGAGATGACTGAAGACTGACGGGACCCTCCCTTGCTCCCACAGGATACCTGGTCTTTTCTCTGGAGGAGTCTCAGGTAACACATGATGTGGCAAGTAGAAAAGTTGTCTTCTTACTAGATGCGGGGGCTGCCTACTCTGATTTCCCTGGACCCTGATCCCCCTCTCGTATGTAATAACAAGGATTGACGGAAATCCCCAAACCAAGTGATCTACGCCCCCCTTCTTTAGTGGCCTACTAGAAAATTTTACCTTTGCACATCAGTTTCTGCTCATGCCTGAGTGCCCTATCCCGTTGTGGGAAGGGATTTACTCACTAAATTCCAGACAGTAATACAATTTGGAGACCCTCATGAAGAAGGCACCCACCAAGAAGAACGACTGCTCTTGGCCTTGAGAACCCACGTCAATACTAAACCAGAAGCGGTCTCCCTTCCACCCCATATTGCTTCTCAAGTGAACCCTGCTGTCTGGGAAACTGAGATCCCCGACAGAGCTACTATTGTCAGGTTCTCATTAGAAATGCGACCACGTGAGGCTATAGGCAAGCCTCTTCAAATCAAGGGCCAAACCAAGAGGCTTAATTAAAAAACTTCTCAAACCCAGGAAGGCTCCCCAAAAGTGTTCATAAATAGATGGCCCAATGGGAGGCCATCGGTTGGACTAAACTGATCATAGCTGATATTCAGGGCCCAATAAAATTTTTTTGGAAAAGACTTCCCTAAGCTAAATGAGGAAAAACAAAACTGTCTTTGTTTTACAAATCTAGTCTTTACAGGACTAGAGGTGTGGCTCCAAAAATGATGCAAAGCCCACCAATCCTTCTACCACTCCCAAAACCTCCCCTATGTATTTATTTTAAGAGACAAGTATTAAAGATTTTTTTTTCTGGCCTTAAAGAAACAAAGTCTTTCTAGGAGAAACTTGCCTTCCTATGCCTTTGATATACAAACATTCTACCTTGTCTTCTCCAGGAACTCTGATCTCACCAGCTTTTTAAAACGCAAATCTCAAAAAAAGGGGAAATAAATAACTTGGAACTTAATTTGCTAATAACAAGTAAAAATTTTGTCTCTTTTTCATAAATATTAGTAAAAATGCTTAGCCATCTAGATGGGCAACTTTGATTTGTTCTATCTGCCAAAAACCCAGTTTAAATCCAACCTCTTTTGTAGCCAATGGATTTTACTTTGTTATATCTGATTCATAACAAAATTTTTAAAATAAAAACTATAAGGTGTCTGGTTTATATGTCATAAATGTATGGTATTGGCAAAATTAAATAGTAAAAGAGCTCTTTAATTGGCTTAAGAAAATTAAGTACTTACATAAATACTCAAACATAAAGAAAACTGGCCAAAAGAAATTTCAGGTTCACATTATCTAATAAGTATTCAGTACTGGTATTGGTATCGAAGCTAGCTTAAGCTTGTTGGTTTAATTAATACAAACATGTCTTTAGAAACATCAGTGTTAAGTATAATACTTCTGTTGTGTAAGGCTTACTAGAGGTCAAGTAAGACTATTATATCTGTAACAAATTTGTCAATGAGAAAAGTAACTCAATGTAAAAAGAAACTTTCAAAAAAGTAACAAAATAAGAGATTTGGGGTAAACTCCATAGGAGCTTTGTTTGGGAAATATCTACCTAAAATTGTCTCTCCTCAACTTTTCGTACTTAAAACTTGAAACTAATTTAAAAATTGTCGTTACAGACTATTAAACTAAATTGAAGTTTCACTATCTGTGTCATTTACAAAGTATTAAAACATTAATTGCTGGGCAAGTCTAGGCTTATCTACCTTTGCCTTATGGAAAAAAAACTAAAACATAAGTTTCTGATGCAGGAAAACGGATGTGGGGTGTGAGGGCCGTGCCCCAGATCTCGGTTGAGCCCCTGGGATGTGCCCCACCAAGTGTGGGTCCTTGGCTTCCCCCAGGAAAGAAATCAAGTGGGAGCCACAGTTGGGTAAAGGTAGATTTATTTAGAGAGATACACACTGCATAGAGTGTAAGGCAAGAGAAAGGCAAGGAAAGAGGTATGGGAATTGGTTGCTCAGGTTAAAGTATAAGTAGGTACACACTCCATAGACAGTGCGGGCCATCTCCAAAGAGGAAGGAGTGAAAAGGGGCCGCTAGGTGTGGTGTTGCCAGCTTTTATGGGCTCAGTATCTTCACACGCCTACAGGTGGGACCGTTCCAACTGCCCTGGGGAAGGGGCTGAGATTCCCAGGAATTGGACCACTGCCCATTCTTTGGCCTTTTGCAGTTAGCCTTGGAACTCTCATGGCCCCTGATGCTGTCACAATGAGCATATAATGAAGCTCAAGGTCCACTAGAAGTCAAACCTCCAACCAACTTAATCCTCAAGGTGAGTGGGAGTTGAATCTTCCAACATTTTGAGGTTAAATTGCTGTCATTCCTTGAGTGGCTTTGCCCTGCCCCCTTCCATCCTGTCTCATTTCCAGTCAGGAAACTGTGATGTGACAACCAATTCACAGTTGCTTGCTTCTTGGTTTTTGCCAGAGATTTAAGGTTATTAAGGGTTAAAATTATAATATGTAATTAAAACTCCTAAGTATTTCAAACACAGTGGGAAAATATGTATGTTTTCAGTAGAAGAGTTTCATAAAAAATATACAAAAAAATTTCATGTATAATCAGGATTTTAAATATTTAACAAATTCTAAAAGCTTTTTTGTGGCTCCAGCTAACTTTGAGATGCTTCAAAAAAAACTTGAGACATCTTAGATATTAACTTAACTAGGATTATTTAATATATTAAGTTAAATACAATGAGTCATAATTCTAGTAATTACAAACAAGTCTCTTTATCAATTCAGATGTTTAACCATGTCTTTTAAGTCTTTTTTGTCGTTACAGACTGTTAAACTGTTGTTACAAAGGTGCTTCATCTTTAAGAAAATTCATCAAAAGCCAATAAAAACAGTGGGTTACAACAGTCCCATGTCAGATAATGGCTATGCGAGGATTCGAGCGCATACCCTCAGCCCTCTGAACACAAAAACAAATGGCTGTCCTGCCCTTGGGGGCCCCTAGATTAGTATTCAGACTTCTACTCCCTGATAGGCAGGGTCAACGCCCCTACTCAGTCTGGAAGTAGTTTCAGAAGACGGACCCTCGCCCCTCTGCAACCCCAGAAGATTATGGGAGTAAAATCTCTGAGGGGAGAGTGAGACAGGAGGGAAGGGGGCAAGGCACAGCCATTTAAGGAATGATACAGCAATTTAACACCAGAATGGTGAAAGATTGAACTCCTAGTTGGCCTTGAGGATTGAGAGGTTTGACTTCTAACAGACCTTGAGCTTCATTATATGCTCATTGTAACAGCATGATAAATAACATGCCCGCAGGTGCCATGACAGTCCCAAGGCTAACTGCAAAAGGCCAAAGAATGGGTGGTGGCCCAATTCCTGGGAATCCCAGCCTCTTCCCCAGGGTACTTGGAACGGTCCCACCTGTAGGCGTGTGAAACTACTGAGCTCATAAAAACTGGCAACACCACGCCTAGCGCCCTTTTTCACTTCCCCCTCTTTGGAGATGGCCTGCATTGTCTGTGGAGTGTGTACCTACTTATACTTTAACCTGAGCAACCAATTCCCATACCTCTTTCCTTGCCTTTCTCTTGCCTTATACTCTATGCAGTGTGTATCTCTCTAAATAAATCTACCTTTACTCAACTGTGGCTTGCACTTGAATTCTTTCCTGGGGGAAGCCAAGGACCCACACTTGGTGGGGCACCTCTCAGGGGTTCAACCAAGACCTGGGACACGGCCCTCCTCACGCCCCACATCCATTTTCCTGCATCAGAGCCAGTGGGGCCCACAACGTCGGGTCCCAAGTCAACAGGCACCCCATGCAAATGAGACTGGGACAGCATATATTACGCTAAGAGAGTGACGGCCTGGGCGGCCACAGGGAAGAACCTCCCCGCCAGCCTTGCGGATTGGCCCTTGCAGCCGCTTTGTCAGGAGCCCTGAGAGCGAAACGCTGGCGGGATGGCGGGGCGAGAAGCTGGGGCGGAGCCTGGCGTCCCCTCTCGCGTCCGGCCGCGCCCATCCTCCGAGCTGCGGAGAGACAACTGGCCGCTGCCGCCTCTGCTAGCTGTCCCTGCGGAGCGCCTGCCCCGGTGGAGCCGGCCTCACTGCGCTCGGCCCCGGCGCGT